GTAGGTGCGCAGCTATGACCCACAGGATAAGAATGTTAGGCACGTCGGCCTTCCGCTCCAGGGGAAACACCGTGGTGTAGTGCGTGAAGTTGTCGACGAGCAAGAGAAAGTAGCGCTCGCGACGCGGTCCAGGGACGGGGGCTGGGCCCCAGACGTCCAGGTGCAGGGTCTGGAGGGGCGCGATGTCAGGACAAAGTGAGGAGGAGTGAGGAGCATGGTGCAGAGGCCCTTGACGAAGGGCGTGCACGGCGGGCCAGGTGAGGGAGGGAGGGCAGGAAGTGACGCAGGGAGACCGAAACTAGACCGTGCTGAGACATGTGATGCAGGTGTGGGAGTGCGGGGTGACCTAGGCGGCGGTGCCACAGAAGTGACGGGTGAGTGAGCGACCGACACGAGCAGGCCGCAGCGACTTGGATAAACGCAGGACGTTGGGAGGACGCGCTCATCGGGGGGGAAGCAGTGTCGAGTGTAAACAGGCCAGACATCGGGTCCTAGGGGAACATCACAAGGGGGCACCTGAGGCGACCTCGGTATAGACAGTGTACCGCTTGTGACTAGGGAACGTAGTGGTGACGCTGAAGTTCTGAAGACAGCCGTCAACAACTAAGCTCCTAGAGAATGAAGGGAATCTGTAGGCCTGTAAGGAAACTTGAGGGGGCCCCTGGACAGGGAAGGGCAGTGGAGCTGCGAGTAACAACATGACCAGAAGAGGGGTCAGCAAGGGCAACAGAGGCAAGGAAAGCGAGCGCGCGAGAGTGGCGTGGTCGCGGAAGAAGCAGGCACATGCACCAGAATCGAGCGTGAAGGACAGCGAAGCAGTAGTCGCAGAGAAAGGAGGAGCAAGGGTAGAGCCTAGGTTTGTCAATGCAAACGGTCCTACGCTAGACGCAGTAAGGGAGTCTGTACTACACATAGGTGCAACTCCTAAGCTAGAGAACACAATAGAAGCGTCAGCATACAGAGAATCACCTAATTTGGATTTCAACCACTAAGAGTTTTATTTCCTGTATCGTGCAATGATAGATAAAAATATTCTCTATAACCTCTGGAGAAGTATACAATATAATGGGTCCACATCACGGCCCAAAATTGGTTTTAGGCCACCCTTAGGAATCAGCATACCAGAAAAAAATTGCCCTGACAGAAAGGGTTAAAACTAGCATACCCTCACCAAATCAGGGTGTTTTGAGGAAAAAACATCAATACCCTGATGCTGTCAAGGTGTTTTTTTCTACACCCTGATTTTCCTTGTCAACATTTTCTTTGGGAGGGAGCAACGAGAGAGACAGACAAGGAACAGCAACACTGAGAGAAACTAGTAACTTTTTTCACGCACAAGTGCTGCTGGGTGGCATGGTTTCCAGGCAAGTAACTTTTTGGCAAAGAAGATTGTAATCTTTCGTGCACACGACATATCAGCTTTTTGGTGCGTGCTGCTCAAGCATGCTTGCTCGCGCTGCCACAACTTTGTCCTGACAGGGTGTGAGAGAATGGGGAAGAATGTTTTTGTACAAGGGGAACTTAGACAATTTTGTTGGGCTTGGGAAAGGGGGAGAGGAGGGGGGGGGGAGGTGTAGGAGGATAGTCTCTGGTTGTGAGGAATTTGACGAATTATTCTGAGTTGCGGGTTGCTTAGGAGGAATGTATTTGGCTTTGAGGACTTAGCCAAATTTCGGAGACATCGTGGTTTGCGGGATGCGCAGGAGGAATGCCTCTGGCTGGGGAGGACTTAGCAGAAAATCTGGGTTGTGGGCTCACGGATTTGCCGGTGGGCGAGGCTGCCTAGATGATTCTCCTCTCAGAATAACGCAATGACTAGAATGAGGCATATAGAGAGGTTTTGTGCTATGGTGCTGTAGTCTCTATAAGCATGCACCTATCTAGCCTATAACAATATATAAATATATGTTGAAACACCCCCTAGGCTAGACAAGGGGCAGTGCCTAGCGAGAGGCACACAACTTAGGGCAGCACTACTAGTCCAACCTCTGAGGCAAGGGTCTAAAGACCAGTTAGCAAGAGTACAAGCTAAACAAGAGTAACCCAGGGCGGCACTTCTAGTCCAGCCACTGGAACAAGAGCCATAAGGCCAGTCAAGATAATAAGAGTAGTACAAAATCAGGGTCCAAGCAAGTGAGGAGCTACTGGAACTAGAACAAACAATACACAGTGCCACTGATGATCTTTAGGCATAGGACGGAGGACGGGCAGGGTCAAAGACCAGAGAAGTAGCGTAGTCAAGGCGGCGAGTAGAGGCAAAGTCAGTAACGGCGACGACAAGAGCGTTAAGACTCGAGACAGGAACGGAGGTGTCGGTAACAAGAGAGGCAAGAACCTGAGGAACAAGAGGACTAGCCACACGAAGGAAGTCAGAGAGAGGGGGCGGATAGAGAACAAGCGACGATTGAGGAGGCGACGGGAGAAGAGGAGCACGAGACGCTTGAGAACGTAGCAACATAGGGTGAGAACGTTGAACAGGGGAGACAGGACGAGCACGAGAGGGACGGCGAGACCTGAAGTGGGAAGGAGGCAGACAGAGGAGGAGACACAAGAGGGGAACAAGGGCGGAAACGAGACGCGGATGAATCTGGCAGAGGAAGCACAGGGCCGTAGACAAGCAGGGGGCGTTGGCGTGTGGTCGAGAGAGGGAAGGCCAAGGAGGCGAAGGTCAGACACCGGCAGTGACTGCTGCTGCTGTTCCACGTCGACTCCAGAGCCTTTGACTGCACCACGGCTACCTCCGAGACGCTCCACAACAGCTCCCTCAGAACGAGAACCCTCTCTAGCACCAGTGCTACCCCCAGGACCGCCCGGACAAGCCACGAGAGTACCACCAAGACTAGCACCCCCAGAACCAGCGCCCCCAGGATGAGAACACGTTCCAGCATCGGTGCTACCCCCAGGAATGCCGGGATAAGCCATGACAGTACCCCTCGAACTAGCACCCCCAGAACCAGCACCCTCCCAAGTACCCACATCCCTAGAGCTCGCGGACCTTTGTGGCGGCGGCTGCTGTTGCTGCGGCGGCGGCGACGTCGGCTGCTGCTGCGGCGGCGACGATGACTACTGCTACGACGGCGGAGGAGGAGACAAAGAGGCGGAGACAGGCAGGGAAACCTGAGCCGCAGGGAGTGCGGCCATAGGTTAAGCTGGTGAGCAGCATAGCGAACAGCGAACGGCCTTAGAAAATGGGGTGCACCGGCATGAATCATGGAGGTACGGGCCACCTCCATGACCAAATCGATGCGTCGCTCAGCGACCCAATCCTGCTATGGGTGTACGTCTGGGTGATGCCCTCCGCACAACAGAATTGGCCAAGCCCACGTGAGGCGAACTCGTCACCACGGTAGGAGTGGAGATGCAGCACAGGGAGACTGCAGTGGACTCGCGCAGCTACAACCCACGGGATAAGAACGTTAGACACGTAGGCCATCTGCTCTAGGGGAAACACCATGGTGTAGCGCGTGTAGTCGTCGACGAGCATCAGAAAGTAGCGCTCGCGTCGAGGTCCGAGGACGGGGGCTGGGCCCCACACGTCCAGGTGCAGGGTTTGGAGTGACGCAATGGTGGGGGGAAACGAGGAGGAGTGAGGAGCACGGCGCAGCTAGCCCTCGACGCAGGGGGTGCAAGAAGGCGCGAGCGAAAGAGGGAGGGTGGGGAGCGACGCAGGAAGACATAAGACAAGACCGTACTGGGACATGTGACGCAGGCGCGGTAGAGTGGGGTGACCTAGGCGGCGGTGCCACAGAAGCGATGGGTGAGTGAGCGACCGACACAAGCAAGCCGCGGTGACATGGGTAGACGCAGCCACCTGGGGGACGCCCCCACCAAGGGGGACGCGGTGTCTAGCGTGAACAGGTCAGACACTGGGTCTTGGGGGAGGCACCAGTGACAGCCTCGGTATAGACTGTGTACCGCTCGTGGTCAGGGAACGTAGTGGTGATCCCGAGGTCCTGAAGACAGCCGTCACAACTAGGTTCTTGGAGAACGAGGGGATGTGCAAGCCAGTATGGGAGCCCGAGGGAACCGCCAGACAGGGGAGGGTGGTGGAGCTAAGAGCAACTACAGGACCTGAGGAGGGAAGTGCAGTGGAGAGCGATGGAGAGCGGTGGAGAGCGGTGGAGAGTGGCGGAGAGCTGGAGAGCACCGGCGCAGAGGGGGAGCCAAGGCCGGCGGTTCGGTGGCTCGGCGGCTCAGCGGCACGGCGGTTCGACGGATCGGCGCGGCTAGAGCTGGCGGTGACTGAGGCCGGCGCGGACAGGTGCCGGCGCGGACGGGGGCTGGCAAACTGGGGCCGGCGAGCAGGGGCCGGCGCGAGCAGGAGCCAGCGAGAAGGGACCGGCGAGAAGGGGCCGGCGAGCAGGGGCCGTTGAGCAGGGGCCGGTGGGAGTTGGGGCCAGCGTGGACCAGGGCCGGCGCGAGCAGGGGCCGGCGAGAAGGGGCCGGCGGGAGCTGGGGCTGGTGCCGACTGGCGCCGGCGCGAGCAGGGGCCGGCGAGAAGGGGCCGGCGAGGAGGAGCCGGCGAGCAGGGGCCGGCGGGAGCTGGAGCCGGCGCGGATTGGGGCCGGTGGGAGCTAGGGCCGACGCGGGCTGGGGCCAGCGGGTGCTGGGGCCGACGAGCAGGGGCCGGCGAGCAGGGGCTGGCGAGCAGGGGCCGACAAGCAGGGGCCGGCGAGCAGGGGCCGGCGAGCAGCGGGCCGTTGGCGAGCTAGGGGCCAGCGAGTAGGGGCCAGTGCGAGGGGCCTGCGAGTTAGGGCCGGTGGGCAGTGGGCCGCTGGGGAGCGAGGGCCGGCACGCTAGGGCCGGCGAGCTAGGGCCGGCGGGCAGCGGGGCCAGCGGGCGAGCGGCCGGCGTGGTAGGGCCGGCGAGCGTGAGGCCAGCGAGCGAGGGACCGGCGCGCTAGGGCTGGCAAGCGTGGGCCCACTTGATGATTACCACAATAACTGTCTCCACGTCCAGATAATCAACCCATGGGCTCTCTTACAAAACGGAGATTAGGTAGCCATGTTTGAAGTACGGTACCGGTAACAGTACTCACATTCAAAACGAGAAAACAAGCAATCAAGCAGAGGTGGCCTACGGCTGTGCTACTCTACGAACACACATAACTGGCTGAAACGTTGGTGCCATCCATCGGCTCGGAAGCTGCACCGTGCACCCACCTTGCACAGACACTCCTACATACAAACAGGACCAAGTAAGCACACCAATTTCAAAGTGCAAGCAATTCTATGTGTCCCTTGAATTGTGTGCCCTCAATGCCCTCCTCTCAGCCACATGATACCCAAGGGCGCCCTGACAAGTCCCATCCTCACCCCTCTCTTGGTCTTGTCAGAACCAACGCCCGCAATCTCCCACGTCCTTCAGTTGTGCCTTCAGTTGTGCCTTCCGGGCCCATGTCCTGCAATGTGGACTTCACCCCTGTTTCCTGCAACACAACTTTGCAGCCTCGAACAGACGAAATGCACGAGTGTCGCTCTTCACATGGCAAGGACAAGGAGCAAGACAGCAGCAGCAGCAGCAGCGGAGAGGCTGAAGGCAGCAGCAGTGGGGATGGGAAGGCCAGATGCAGGCTTGGGAGGAGGGGAGGCAGGAGTCTGGGTAGAAGGTGACGGTGCCACAGGCACTGGTGATCCACGTGCTGCAGCCAATGCGGGAGCTGCAGCTGATGCAGGTGCTGCAGCTGAGGCCAGTGCTGCAGCTGATGCGGGTGCTGCAGCTGATGCGGGTGCTGCAGCTGATGCGGGTGCTGCAGCTGATGCTGGTGCTGCTTCAGACTCTGGGGCTGCTGTGGGTGCTGACACTGGAGTATAGGTTAAGGGGTAAGGGAGGACAACATCAGGCGTGATTTCAAAACAATGCATCTAGAAACAGACGTTCAACAGCAAGTGCTGCATACACACTCACAACGACAATGTTCATGCCCCCATGCGCAATGCATTCTGCCATTCATACAGCAAATAATATGGCGAACTGCCCCTATGCACGCACAAATCCCCTGCATGCACTGCTGCACACGAGCATCAACACAAAGCAAGGCCCGAGGTCCTACACTTGAGGGGCGTGCAGGAGGAGCAGAAGGAGAAGCAGAGGCGGCAGAAGCTGGTGGCATTGCTCTGCTGCGCCACACACTTGCTGCCGTCTGCAGGGCAGGTCAGCCCCGAGCCAGAGATGTTCCTGGGAGCGAGGGGGGTGAGGGGGGCATAGATAGGCGAGGGGAGGAAGAGGCACAGGACGAGCGGGGTGAGGACACGATGCGTGTTGGTGTTTGCTTCTACGGGTCTGTCTAGCATTGGAGAGGCATGGGGACTGACCAGTGCTGAAGAGCTGTGAGAGCGCCAAGCGTTGCAGGGAGTGCACCAGAGAGGAGAGTATCCTCCACACCGCTGCCATGCGAGGAGAGGAGAGGTGATGAGAGGAGAGGAGAGGTGATGAGAGGAGAGGAGAGGAAAGGAGAGGAGAGGAGAGAAGGGGAGGGGAGAGGCGAGGAGGGAGCCAAGGGGAGAGGAAGGTAGAGGAGACTTGGGGAGGGGAGCGACGAGGAGAGAAGGGGAAGGGAGGGGTTGGGTAGGCAGAGGAAGGGAGATGCAGGGGAGGGGAGAGGAGAGGAGAGGAGAGAAGGCGAGGGAAAACTAAATGTAAGAGTAAAGGATGCAAGAAGGGAGAGAGAGTGGTGCGGAGAGGAGAAACAGTGGTAGGAAATTAGACAAAAGAGATGAATCGAAACAGTGGTGGCGTGACGATGTGGAGGCTGAAGAGATGAACCTTTCGACAACATAGGGATAAGATTGCACAGCATGGGAAGCACGCAGAGCACACTGGAGGTCTGCGTCGGTGCACAACTCACAGGGATGTTAGGCGGACAAGGCTGCCTATGCTAGCAGGTATGGGGCCACTCAATTTGTTTCCTCCAAGACCCCTGCAATTCCATTTCATATTGCCATGCCATCCCATGTTATGCCATATCATGCCATGGAGAGCAATCCCAGAATGGTGGCCAGCAGTCTCAATGCTTCAATGAGTTCCCACAGGCCACAAATCAAAGGGCCCTAGATCCACAAACCGAAGGGCGGCCCGCCCAACTTGGAGATTCAACCATTTGCAGTGGCCACAAGTCAACATTGTCAGATCAGATTAATTGTTTTGTGTCCCCTCTACCATGCTAATCCCTTCGTGACACTATACTCCTAGGCAGGGCTTGGCAAGGCTCACATGCGCTGGAGAGAGCTCATGCGGGAAATGGAGGCAGGGAGGGCGCCGGTGAGCTGGTTGCTGCTGACGTCACTGGAGAGGGAGAGGGGGGTGGGAGGGGGAAGAGAGGGGGGAGTGGGCGAGGGAAGAGATGCTTGGCAGCGTGATCATCACATTGTTCATTCCTGGCCATCATGCATTGTCTTGACCCTCAGCCGCATGGGTGAAACACCGAGGGCTATACATGGGGGTGCACAAGCATGGGGGTGCGCAGGCATGGGGGTGCACAAGCATGGGAGCAGCAAGCCACATCAAGAGCATAGCACCAGCAGCGAGACATGAGTTGAAGGAATAGCCAAGAGATGGAGGATGGAAGAAAGGAGGGGGAGGGAGGGTGAATGGACGAAGGAAGATGAAAGTAGAAAGGAAGAGGGTCCGACGTTCCCTCCCGTTAGTCAGAGCAGTGCTGGCACTGCAGAAGATTAGAGGCAGAAGCATTACATGCCCCGAAGTTTCCCATTCTGAAGTACAGCTGGGGGAAAAGGTCCAGAAAAGCTGTTGTTGGACATGTCACTGCGGGAAGGAGGAAGAAGGAAAGAAGGGAGCTGGAGAGAGATTGACTCGTTGGATGGAAGTGCACGTGACGCAATGTGGTTATTGCATCTATCATGGCTGTAGTAGAGATGGGAGAACTTACAGATGCTTGAGCTTTGAAATACTTGAAAAGGATGCAGGGAAGGGGCCTGAGAAATTGCATGAACCAGCGTTACTGGAGCCCAGAGGGAGGGCAAGGGGAGGGGAGGGATGGAGGGGAATGAGACCTCGATGGATGAGGTGTGGGAAGAAAAAAGGCAGATGCCAAAGCTATTGGGTGACTAGAACGAGTAGCCAACCATTTCGTTCTTTCAGGCTCCAAATTAACGACACAAGGAGAATAGGTGTGAACTTAACCTGCTCTATATAAAAAGAGACGTGACTCTATATGTGGGGAAGGAATAATTTATAGGATGGGGCCATGCTATGCTCGTGCTACTGTGCATCCATGCTCACATGCTTTGAAGATTGTGCAGGTTAGAGAGTGTACATTGCATGCAGCTGTCATGAAGTATTGTGCATGCAAAGAGAAGACACAGTATATGCTGCTGTGCTCCAAAGCCACTATCCTCACATCCTATCAAGCAATGGCAAGCTAGAAAGCGCATCCAAGCCACCAGAGATAGGGTTGTGACTGAGGTCTCTGTTGAAATGGCAGGGAACAGGTGGCGTTGATAGAAAGGGGGGGGGGGGGGGAGCATAGGGCCATAAGAGTGATGATTGGCAGAGAAGGAAACGCACCAAGGTACGAGAGAAGAAGCCTATGCACTTCTTTTGGCAAGATATGGAGGCCGGGGAGTTGGTAGGGATGATGTGAAGCAATGAGAGGAGGAACGGAAACAGGCTGAGGGGCAAGCAGTTCAGTACATCATATTGCAACACGGAAGCTGCATGCGTACCTTACTGTGTATTGTCTCTTACATAATCCTGCTTCTGCTTCATGGAAGGAAATATGCGATACTGTGACACTACACTTCATAAGATCGTGACCTAATATAGTCATGACGTGCATCACAATGACAATAGTGCCAATGGTTGTGACTAACGAAATGTCATACGGTTATTTCAACCTTTCAGTGTACTACGAACATCATTTGTGAAAACGTGGTTTTATGTGTACTACTAGTGTATTGTTAGACACATATGCAGCGTCCGCTTTGAGGAATTAGACATGCGGTACTGTAATAGTATGCTACATAAGATGGTAGTGTTCGACTGTCACGGCAAGCAGGAGAGTGACAATCATGCCAGCAGCTGAAACTACTGGAGGGTATTATATCTGTTTCAACCCGAATGATGTGGGCAGTTGGTTTGAGATGTGATGGTGGGAGGGAGTGGTAGGTTGCGCCCAAATTACAGCTCAACGAGGGAGGTAACGTATGAGAAGGTTGCTGGGATGGACCCTGAGAGGCTGTTGTGGCTCAGGTACCTGTAGAGAGAGTGGGAGAAAAGAGAGAAGCTTTCGATGAGTACCGCCTGCGTTTGAGTGTCACCCTGCAACGAGCACGGGCGCTTCCCTTCACCCTAAGACCAATGATGCCTTGAAAGTGGATGTGGCGGGCCCAACTGACACCTCGGAGCCTTTGTGCAAGGGTTGCTTCTTCCACCCACACGTGGGCGTAAGCCGTGCCGGCCCGAGCCTGGCCTGAGCTGAGCTCGAACCGGGGGTAGTCGAGCCAAGCCGGGTCGGGCCAGTCGAGCTAAGCCGGCCCGAGCCACAAAATTTAGCCGGGTCGCACTGGCCGCAAAATTTAGCTGGGGGCCAGTCGCCCGCCCAAACTGGGTCGAGCCGGCTTCACTTAGCTCGACCGGTACAGGATAAGTGGGAGTGTCTTTGAGGGTGCCAGGAGTGGTCTAAATGCGTATTGGTGAACCCCCGGAGAGTTAAGGGGACTGTTGGTGGAGCGTCAACCATCCCTCCTCATGTTAGTGTTGGTAACAATTCTCTAGCTTGTGAGAAGGGCCGAAGCGTAGTACCATCTTCCTACATTTGGGTGGGTGTGTGTTCAACCAACCCCATGCGAATTTATGGATGTCTATGAAACTAATACCCCAAAACATGCCAACGAGCTCTCCAAACAACCTTCCAACAAACCTACCAACCAAACTTCCTCCCTAAACCAAGCAACTGGCCTGGCAGCCAGTCGAGCCGCAGTTGGCTGGAGTCAGTCTAGAGTGTCGAGCCGAGTCGAGCCGAGTCGAGCCGGCGGCTCGCCCGGATTAGGCAGGCTCGGCTTGAGGCGAGCCAGCTCGTCTTATAGCCCATGTCTCCACCTCTTAGAGCCCCTACACAAACTTCCTTAGGGGGGCGGGTGGTATGTATTAGGAGTTGGCTGACCTCTTACACTGGCCAACCTTTTGAAATTACCGGTCTTTCCACAGCTCTAGTCAACTCTACCATCATAGACTCGTCACCTCCACAGCACTCAAGTGGGATTTGCCAAAGGCTGTCGCTGCCCGCCTCACGTCTTCCCACCTCTTGACATTCAGCAAGCCCGACTCGGCCCATTGCTGCCGCGGGATGAATCCCTTGAAATGCGCGCCAAAGCGGCGCTAATTTCTACCGCCGCAGCTGACCCTGCGCGGGACTTATTTCTCTCGCTGCAGTTTGGTGTTGCTGTCACCAGCAGTGGGGAGGTGATCATTTATGCCTCCTGCGCCTACACCACCTTGCACCCCCGGGCCTTGATCATGCAGGCCGCCCTGGCCACCCTAAACCTAAACCCTCTCAACAGCATTGACAGGATTCTCCCCTTCGCCACCTACTGCCCCTGGTGCAGAGTGAGACGCGAGATCTAGCTCGGTGGTGCAGTTTAGATCCGCTGATACAAGATATTGTCTTGTATAGATTGACTAAATAGAGGAGATCACGGCTCTTAAGTACATCACGTTATGGGTTCGCATGCATGAATTGAAAGTCGGGGAGGGTTTTAAGGGGTCATCCACACTTTCCAAAGGGTGGTCTGGATGGTGGATCTTTTGGGTGATCACATTTAGGTGAGGTTGAGACCATTTGTTTTGTGTAATACCCCTCCACGAAAACACTTCTACACTCTATCCTCAGATATACGTGCAACTATAAAAGTTAAACTGCCAGCATATCTCCTCTCAAACATCTATAATGTTACGACTAAATCTGCCTGCCACGTTTATCGCCAGGGTGGCCAATCACGCCATTTTGGACAGCCATTCTCCACTCCACTTCCTTGCACGGGACAGCTCAAGAGAGTGTGGCAAGTCCACATTCTCATAAAGGTAGAATGAGTGCGGCGATGTGAATGAGGTGACTCACAAGTGAGAGAGTTGTGGTCCTCCGCAGTACATCACGACTGGGCAATCGCTGAAGGGGACGATCCCAATCAACACATGCGATGCAAAGCAAAGGGCGTGAAACATGACAAAAAACAAATCAGATAATTGCATAATGTTTGCGCATGGCACATGAAGATGGAATGTCATTCAGAATATACCGTCCATGTGTGCATTGGCTGCCAACAACCTGCACTCCCCCCCGCCCCCACCCCTCCCCCCCCCAATCCCCCCCGCTCCCCCCCTCCTCCTGAAGACACTGAGTGTTGAGCGGTGAGGGCAGGGCAGGCGTGGGTTGGAACGGGCGGAAGAACGTTTGGTGCCTTCATTCATGGCGCCAGTGAAGAGAAAATTATGCTGTGACGGGGGGATTCCTCAATGGATACCTTGGATACTCAAAAAGGGAAGGGAGAGTCCCCACGAAGTTGTTGAATGACAGATCACTGCGTGCAATTGAGAAAACACTCTTGATGCAGTCAAGCATTCCACGGACAACCTATTGTGCAGAAACCAAAACTCTTGAGTCCCTTTCTGTCACTTTCTGCATTTGACCAAGGCAAATGACTGTGCTGACTGGTATGGGTGTCGTGCAGGGAGCAGGCGAGTGAGGGATGTAAAAATACAAGGAGTAACAGGTGAGGGATAAACGGAAGGCAAGAAGACCACCTTGTGTTTCACACAACGGGCCACTCACAGCATGGCGATGTAGTCCCATTGGAAGATGCCACGAGGGATAGCTCCGGTGAAGTGATTGTGCGACAAGTTCCTGATGGGAGAGAGACGTTCATGGGTTGGGTTTGGACGTCCATAAGGCACAGCACGGTTTCAGGGTGACAGGAGGACGTCTGAAGTAGCTTGCAACACATGGAGCCCCAGCATTGGGGATTATGATTTGATCACAGCCGCTAGCTCACATGTTCAAAAACTGACAGCACAGGCCACAGACAGACAGTGACTGTCTAACTTGCACTCCATTTTCCAGTATTGCTGTTTTCGGGCTTGCCTTTGTCATTTAATGGATTGTTGTTTATTATAAGATTGTCTGCTGCTTAATACGGAGATAAACAATGTGTTTCCAAATTATATAAAAGATAGGGCTAACAACGTGGATGCAAAAGGCTTGCAGGTAGATGCAATAGCAACGTGATGTGGATGCGCACAAGCTGGTCATCGTTTCGAAATACATAGAAGGAAGAGGCCCCGTGAAGTTGTTGGATGACAGATCACTGCAGGGACGCAAAGGACAATGACCCCTATCATGCAGAGAAGAGGGGTCTTCTTATGCAGGAGAGGTTCGTCCTTCATGTGAGGGTGCCATGGATGAACAATGAGGCGTGCCACAGATGAGAGGCCTTGATACGACCAGCATAGCATTGCGCAGCTCTACGAACATAATACGGCACTAGCCATAGACTTGTTATGTTAGCTGCAGTCTGCAGACACTCGTCCAGACCACTTGGCCCGGATACATTGCGACCCGACCAGAACCGACCCGACCAGACATATTGCGACCCCTCTGGTCGGCTTATTATCAACCCCTGCCCTTATGCCGAACCGGACCTTGGGTCAGATCCTTCAGGGGTGCATCTTACAGACTGTGGAACCATTCATCCAAAAAAGATGCCGGGAAAGGCCCTGAGAAATTGCACGATCTAGCGTAACTGCTTAGGAACGGAGATAGGACAAGAGGCATGAAGCGAATGAGACTTGGAACGAACAAGTGGGAGGAAAGGAGGGGAACAGAAGAGAATAATTTCTCGTAAGCTGCAAAGAAAACGTATGCAAGAAAACCAAAGATAGCTGCCTGAAAAAACTGTTTGATAACCAAAGAATCATTTACGGGAGATAAAGGCTCTTCACTAGTAACCACGGCATTGAATGCACCCGTCATGTTGTCTTGTGCATACAACAACAAGGCACGGAATGTGCTGATGTGACGCTAAACCAGTATGCTCACACTGCTTCAATCCAGGGTATGCCAGCAAGCGCATTCAAGCCTCCAGAGAGAGGGTTGTGACTGAGATGTCTGATTGAGATGGAATGAAGGGTGGCATGACATGACAGCAGTGGCATTGTAGGGTCATGAGATATGGCGACTGGAAGAGAAGGCTAAGGAGTCTCCGAAGAACCTTCTTAAAAAAAAAGCATCCGATAATGTCCTTCTGTACATCTTACTAGGGAGTTTTTATAGCACCGTGCTTCTGTTCGTGTACAGCATTGTCCTCGGGCCAATTTTTAGTCGACTCAATCAAAATACACCTGGACAAGCTGACACACGGTTTATTCTCTGGCCGACGTGCTTTAATTGCATGGAAGCTGCCAAAGAAGATCAAGGATTTTAAAGTCGCAGCAAGAAAATGCCAGTTTAGTGTTTCAATTTTGTTACGCTTATCTAGTTTATTGCTAGGCTACAGTGGCCCCTCCACGGGGATGGTGTGGACCCTCGAGATTTTCTCGGGTCGCACTTCCACTATTTAACAGCTCAAGGCTCTGATGTTCAGCAGATGCTGATGAAGGCTTGTATAAGCCGAAACTAGTTCATCACAGGTTTTCCATCGAAAACTTTCTAAGCATCCCTACAGCTCGAGCTTTTTTCAGAACCATTGCCTCGCAAGTCTACTACCACCACGGTTAACCCAGAGAAATGTGGGTCCGTTGGTCTCACTAGTGAGATTTCATAGCAACGTGCTTCTGTTCGTGTACAGCATTGTCGTCACACACCATTTGGGTATCACCAGGCAGGCACGTACAACAATGTCATCGCAGCCTGTGCTGGTAACAAGCTCCCTTCAATTCCTAGCCTAGTCTAAGCCGTTGGTCAACAATGTTTCAGAGCCGTGATTTGCAGTGTGAGTTGCAGGTGGGAGCGGTGGGGTGCACTTGACTCACAGTTCCGAGAGGGACCTCAGCCGTGAGATGGACACTGGGATGGATCCTGACAGCTTGTTGTGGCTCAGGTCCCTGCCATGAGAGAGGGAGCAGGGGGCGTTTGGGGGGGGGGGGGGGGGCAGGGAGAAGGGCGAGTGAGAGGGCGAGAGTGAGAGTGAGAGGGATGCTCAAACACTGCCAGGCGAGTGAACGCGCATCATGTTAGGCATGAAAGGGTAACGAGGTGGCGCACCCCTAGGCACCAGAGGATCCGTAGCCGCTGCACCTGGTGGACCCCCTCCAAACGCTTGAGGGGGAGTAGAGAGGGAGAGAAGAGGTGACACCGCCTCTCCCCCGGAGCAGTGTGGCTGTGTGATGTGACGTGACTGTGGCCCGAGGAGAGAGCTCGCTGCTCTGTTCAGATTCCTTCCTTCCCAACTGGGCGAGGGAGGGGGAATCCATTGAGTGCAGAGAGGCAACTCACATGTAAGAGACGACCGATCCACCAGAGAAGTCAGGTATGGAGCCCAGGTTGTTGTGATCCAGCAGGCTGAAGGGGTCAATTCCAAACGTGCATTTCAAGATTCTTGTGTATTGAAGAAACGATAAGGTGTGGAATGGGGCCATGGGTTGTTCAGACAATTTGCACAATGTTTGCATATGTGCTGCACACGTCACGTCAAGTGGAAATGACAGCGATGTGATCTTTATCCAGATTCTATGTAAGGTTGAATTTTGGAACAGGACATTCCTGAAGTGGAAATGAATTTGAAACAGGACAATTCCGAAGTGGAGAGAGTCAGCTCTGTTCCTAGCAGCATGCCCCCTTCACCCTCCTCCCATCTCCCTCCAGCACCTCACAGACCCGCGTTCACTTGGCTCACAGGGTGTCTAATGACGAGGGCAGGGCAGCAGGCACGGGACCAGTGAGCCGGTTGTGGGAAAGATCTCTGGAGACAAGCAAAACAAGGGGGAGGGGGGAGGGGGAGAGGGGGGGGGGGTGGGGGGTGGGGGGGGGAGAGGGTGTCAGAACCGTTGGCTCGCAAGGCTATTACCACCTTGGTTAACCCAGAGAAACATGGGTCCATTGGTCTCGCTCCTTACATCGCCGCTGCGCTGGCCGGTTCAACCACTCCAAATCCAACTATCAACCAAGTACCCTGGACCATCAGGGCAACTGCCCGATCTTCCAGCTAACACTGAGCAGGTTGTATTTGGTGAAGATGATTCGACGAATACCGTCCAGCCCAACAAGAAGCGTGCCTGTCCTACAGAGCAAGCTCCTGCTGGAACGGCCACCATGCCACTCAATGACGCACCGAAGGCTTCAATTCCTATGGATTCCTCTCCAGAGGATGTCGTCATGACGGATTCTCCTTCCTTGGAGACGTCGATCATTCTATTCTCGACAAGCACCCGATTCCTCCGTGCTTCAACGATTCTTAGAATCAAGCTATCACAGATTTCAAGAAGAATTCCGCAAAGCACCAAAGTTTGTCTCAGCAGCATCTTATTATGGATGCGCAAGCTAAGTCTGGCGACATTCCTCACAGCATTCGGATAAAATCCTTCGACTTCATGTGTCCCTATGAAGACATCAAGATCGGAGCCAATAATGAGCTTCATACTGCCTGCAAGGCCTATCTTGGCAACGTTGAAGGGATTATGATACAAAAGAAGAAGACGGCTGCCGAAAAAGCTCTCTATGACGCCAACGGAGTTCATCAATGGCTCCAAGACAAGCTGAATAACTACATCGATCTGACCAAGGCCAGCACTTTCGGAGACAAGCACCCGAAACTCATCGACAAACTCACCTTTTTCAAGGATACGATTCTGGCCGAATTTGAAAATTCGATGTCGTTGTACCTTGCTGACGCTCTTATGGCAGAAGTCCACCAGACGGAGAAAGCCAAGGAGGTTGATGCAAAGAAGAAGGCAGCCCCTGCAGAAGCTGAAACCTTACCGGTTGACACTTCAATTCGAGAAATCGTCAAGCACGAAGCTGATAAAATCCTCAACAAGAAGTTCAACCCGCAGAAGAAGCAGAAACAGCAGAAGCAGAGTCAGAAGACAAAGTCCCAGACTGCTAAGAAGACTAGCGCGTCTTCGGTGATTTCAAACAAACGTCCCGGACCGGCTAAAGGACCTGTCAACAAGCCCAACCGTCTGCTCGACAAGGGGAAGAAGCCGATTCAGGAAAACCCTTTCAGAGGTTCCAATGTCGCTTCTTCTTCCAGGAATCCGTATGCTGCTCCTTCTTCCAAGGCTTCTAACTCTTCTACTCACAGGAATAATAATCCGAAGCAGAAGCAGGATCAGAATCAGAAGCAGAAACAGAATCACCAGTCAAAAAATGGCGGAAGCGGCCGCGGAAAGGGGAAGAAACCTTAGTCGCGGACGTCCATCAATACGTCTTGATTCTTTTTGGTCGTAAGACCGAGAGTCAAGTGCAGTGTCGCGTCAGCAACAAGGATTACCACAACTTCTCCAGTTACCATTTCTCTCCCACTGAAGCAGAAATCCTCGGCATGGGTCTCAACTTTATCCCTGTTCCAGCTGCTCGTCATATCATTTCTTTCGCTGAAGAGTTAGAAGGTCTCGTTAAAGACGTCCGTACGACAACCTTGTTCAACGGTGATGCAATGAAATCTGAATTTCCCGGTTACAAGCTTCCCAAACGGCTGAACTGGAATCCTCCCCTCGCATCTGCTGAGGTGGAAACAGCACTCTCACTCTTCAAGCATGCAGCCGTGAAAGCAGTTTCCGAACAACAGTATACCAGGAGAACCTCTAAACTGCTACCAGCCCTTCGGCGACTGGGTTTGAACCAGAATCTGGTCTTCAAACCTGCCGAAAAGAACCTGGGTTTGGCTGTCATGGATTTCTATAAAGACGTGTTTTAAACATCTCCTGGATACGCAGGTTTATCGCGAATACCAAGAAGTCCTGATTACTGGAATTGTGAAAGACTTCTATGGCATTCAAGCAGACTACCAGCCTCTGCTTAAGGCGAGAATCTGGAAATCGTTTCTTGCACCGCCGACAGGAGGCTAGGAAGTCCCGGCTTTCTACACCATTCCCAAGGTGCACAAGAAGGTCCTCGCGGGAAGACCGATCGCGGCTTCTCACTGCTGGGTCACTTCTAATGTCTCCTGTTGGCTGGATGCTGTTTTACAGCCTCTGGTTACCTGTCAGCCAACGTACCTGTAGGATTCGCAGAGTTTACTACTTCTGCTGGAAACTTAGAGACTACCATCCTATCACCTGCTGGCTTCATACGATGTGGAAGCCTTATATCCTTCGATCCCGCTTTGGGACGGGATTGAAGCAGTGGATTTTTTTCTTCGGCGAGACAGGCACCCGCTTGCCCCTCTTATTGTCCGCCTTCTACGCTCGGTAATGTTTAACAGTTACGTGACTTTCGACGGCAGATTTTTTCGCCAGATTAAAGGTACTGCTATGAGTACTTCTGCAGCAGTTTTCTTCGCCATCCTGTTTCTGAGCTACCTGGATCTGAAACTCAGTCGCGTCATCAGTCACATACCAGCACTCCACCTTCATTATATCGACGATGGCCTTATCCTCTGGGATGCCCCCCCCTCTACTTTCGACGAATTTCGGCTCCAATTCAGAAAGCTGCATCAAGTTGACCAGTAGACTCTGGATTTCCTTGATATTACCTTCTTCAAGGGGAGTTGTTTTTCGAAGGAAGGCTTATTGGATGCGAAACTCTTCCAGAAGCCTATGAACCGGTGTCGTGCTTCTCCCATTTCTCCCATTCTCCTCAACTATCCTTCCTCCTTACCCTTCTTACCCCCTTGTCCATTCCGCCTCTTGTAGGTTATCACCGGTGCCGTGGGACCTAAGTGGAGAAATACGCTTGGGCAGCCTAGCGTATTGCGTACATACGCTAGCGTATAATACGAATACGCTGTACGCTAGCTAAGTACGCAATACGCTAGCGTATTTCTTGGCGGGCAGCCCGGCAAGAAATACGCAAAAACGATGCGACAAATTTGCGACATGACGAAACCCCACAGGGATTTCGCCATGTCGCAAACCGAAATTTGGCTTTTCAAATCGTCAACCCAACCCCTTCGCCCCTCCCAACCACACAGCATCCCACCCAATCTGCGACTTCCAAACAACACCCAAAGAAATCTCCTTCCTCTCCCTCTCTACTCTACTCCAGCACGGTTCAGCGCAGTTCACTCCTACGACGAAATCAGGGTACAAGTAAACTGGCGCGCTAACTTCAGTCATTTCTTCTTCCAAGCTAGCGCGACTAGCTAGCTGGTTTTTTAGCGACTGTTGCTATGTCGAACCCTTCACCTAGTCCTGGTTCCCACGGAACCGACGCGGGAACCTCCTGTGCTGCGTCTTCCTCTGACGAGCTCCTGGAGAACTCCACCCACGCTATCTTTAAGCATTTCAAGTTTAAGCATAAGGAGCACGGCAAGCAGCAAAAGTATTGGTGCAAGTACTGCCCCGTATCCTTTACCGGGACGGCCTACCGCTGCGCACAGCACATCACTAGTTGGGATGGTATGCGTAGGCGCGAGGTTCGGAAATGCGAGGAGGTAGGGAAGGAGGAGCAGGCTGCCGTCCGCGCGTTCCAAACTGCCAAAGTGCTCGCGAGGGAGGAGGCGCATAGGGCGGAGGAGTCGGCCCTCGACGCCGTTAGTGGTCGAGGAAAGCGGAAGATCACCGATTACCTGTCCGATGACGCCCAAGCGGCCAAGGCGGCGGCGGACGAGGCTATTTGCCTCCTCTTTGCCGGCCTCCGCCTTCCCGAGCGCCATGCCGACCACCCGCTTTGGCGCAACGCCGTCCGGTCCATCGCGCGCGCGGGGACCAGCTATGTGCCTCCAAAGCGCGACTACGTGGGTGGTGCCGGCTTGCAGCTATGCCGCAAGCGGATTGACGAGGGATTGACGGGCGTCATGTCGAGCTGGAAGCGCCACGGCGTGACGATTGCCAGCGACATGATGACCGACAAGTGTGGCAGGCCGCAGGCGAATGTGATGCTGGTCAATGACACCGGCGCAGTGTTCGTCGAGAGTATTGACTGCAAGATGGAGAAAAAGACCGGGGGATACATCGCCCGGCTCCTCCGGCCCATCCTGCAAAAGGTTGGGGTCGAGAACATCGTGGCATTCTGCACCGATGGCGGCAGCAACTACCACAGCGCCTGCCGGCTCCTCATTGCAGAGAATCCGCGCATCGAGCATGTGCCGTGTGCGACGCACGTGCTCGACCTCCTTATGGAGGATGTGGGACGGCAGGCTTGGGCCAAGGAGGTAGTGGGGCGGGCGAGCGAGCTCATCAACTACACCCGCAGCCACCATTGGACCCGACAGTATCTCAGGGGTGTGGACGGAGGGAAGGGGCTGCAGATGCTGAGGCCGGCGGGGACCAGGTTTGGGACGCAGCACATTGCTGTGTCCCGCCTGGTGGAGTTGCGGTCAACGCTGGTGACCATGGTGCTCTGCGATGCATGGAAGGCGGAGTGGGCGGTGGGCCCAAAGAAGGCAGCTGCAGAGACATTCCACGACCAGATCATGGATAAGGACTGGTGGCCAGCGGCTGAGCTCTTCAAGAGGCTGCTCCTGCTCCCGTTCAAGGCCATGAGGGCGACGGATTCGGCAACGAAAGGGATGATGGGCCGCATCTATGAGCTGATGCTTGAGCTCACTGTGAATGTGGCAGAACTGCTGAAGGAGGAGGGGGATGGGGTGTTGAGTGCGGGAGACAAGAAGGGCGTCAATGAGATTGTGAAGCGGCGTTGGGATGAGAGTATGGCTTGCCCACTGCACGTGGTCGGGCGGATTCTTAACCCGGTCAACCAGGAGGAGCGGATTTTTGGGCCGGACACGGAGTGCACCAATGTGTTCAAAGCTTTCATTGCCCGCCACTATGGCGGGGTGATGATTCCCCAGAGGGATGG